AGCTTCAGGATCTGTCCTTCCAGTGAGCACTCAGGGTTGATTTCCTTTAGAATTGATAGGTTTTGTTCTCCTTGCTGTCCAGGGGACTCTCAAGAGCCTCCTCCAGCACCACAGTTCAAAGGCATCAATTCTTTGGTGGTCAGCTTTCTTTACAGTCCAGCTTTCACTTCCATACATCACTACAGGAAAAACCATAGCTTTGACTATTCAGACTTTTGTTGGCAAGATGATGTCTCTGCTTTTTAAGTTGATGTCAAGGTTTGTCATTGCTTTCCTCCCAAGAAGCAGGCGTCTTTTAATTTCGTGGCTGCTGTCACCATCTGCAGTGATCATGGAGCCCAGGAAAGTAAAATCTCTCATTGACTCCATATCTCCCCCTTCTATTTGCCAGGAGGTGATGGAACCAGTGGCCATGATCTTAGTTTTTTTTATGTTGAGCTTCAGACCATTTTTTGCACTCTCCTCTTTCACCCTCATTAAGAGGTTCTTTAATTCCTCCTCACTTTCTGCCATCAGAAGGGTATTATCTGCATATCAGAGATTGTTGATATTTCTTCCGGCAATCTTAATTCCAGTTTGGGATTCATTCAGTCCAGCCTTCCGCATGATGTATTCTGCATATAAGTTAAATAAGCAGGGAGACAATATAAGCCTTGTCGTACTCCCTGGACTACAAGGAGAACAAACCTATCAATTCTAAAGGAAATCAACCCTGAGTGCTCACTGGAAGGACAGATCCTGAAGCTGAGGCTCCAATACTTTGGCCATCTCATGAGAAGAGAAGACTCGCTGGAAAAGACCCTCATGTTGGGAAAGTGTGAAGTCAAGAGGAGAAGGGGATGACAGAGGACGAGATGGTTGGACAGTGTCATCGAAGCAACCAACATGAATTTGACACAACTCTGGGAGGTAGTGGAAGATAGGAGGGCCTGGCGTGCTCTGGTCCATGGGGTCACGACAAGTCGGACACGACTAAACAACTAAATGACGATGACGATGTACTGTATGATGAAGGAATACTTTACTGGGAGAGTATATTCAACACTGAAGATTTATTCAGAAGATAAACTCCCAGATGAGTCATGCCCCCTCGATTCTTATCAAGCAGGGCTATGACAGGCCTTCTCCCTCTGCATTCTCTCTCTCCCTCTCCCTCCCTCGTAGCATGCTCCCATTTCACAGGCTTGAACTGTTTCAACATACATGCCTTTTCCCAAGGAACACTGGCACTTCATTTCTGCAAAGAGGGGGTGGTCCAAGGGAATTTTACAGACATACTCATAACATCTCACTAAACTTGAGTTTCCACAGCATAAAGTTGAAGTGGGTTTGCAGTGCAGATGTAAAGCTAATATAATTTTTCAGAGTTTATGTTTCTCCTGTGTGGTATAATACTATAGGCAGAAGACTCAAGAAAACTTTGTGACTACTAACCACTGTAACCACTGTCCCTGTTGCCATGGAGCACGTTACTATGGGTTACGGTGAGAGGATGTGGCTGCATAGGATTGCTAAAACAGGACGTGTTAGTTAATATATCTGCAAAGGCACTTTCAATCAACTCATCTTCTGATTCTTTCTGTGTTACAGTAATTCTTGATCTCATGTTCATCGTCATTGCTGCTGAGCCAGTTTTCCATGTCACTGTTGGCAGCCAAATTACAAGACAACTCTGCAAACCCTCTAGGATAAATAAACATATAACAACAAGGCTACACGGACCTCTCAGTTTGCATTGTACCAACATGTGTAAAAATGAAAAGTTATTTAGAAGGGAGAAAGAAAGGCGGGTGGTCTTTTCATAAAAACTAAAATAGACTTTCTACAACCATCTGAGCTGGAGAATGTGTGAAGCCATCCAGATCCAATTTATCTCAGACAGAGAAAGAAATATTTTCTGGACTTCATTTCTCAGATTCAAACAGGCAACAAAGCCCACTGGCTATGCTGACCAATGTACCATGAGGATTGTCATCCAGAAGAGTAAAGTTTTTAAGCTAGATTTGACCTTTTTACATATTCTGTATCCATGCTGATTTTTGATCCAACATGTGAAAATGCATTACTAAGACCTTTAATGGATGTTATGAATTGTTTTTACATACTATCCAGTAACAATATTAGCATTACACTGAAAAGCAGCCACCTCTGCACAGCTTAGTTAATTTGAGTCTATGCAGAGACTGTATTTCTACCACCTCTTTAGCAACCCTCTTTCCAAATGTTGCCATCTCAAAAGGGGGCATTTGCCAACCTCATCGTTTCCAGACATTGCAAAGAGTTGTGATCAAAGAATGATGGGGCTCTGATGATGATTTAAAATTACTGAAATAAAAGACCCCCATGGGGTCAGTACAAAATACAAATGCAAGAGCAGGCAGTATCTTTATAGACTAGGGTTTTTAAAATCATCATACAGTCTGTGAGCTTCGTGGATCTGGACCATCCACTTTATCAGGCATGTACTAATGTGAAGAACTTAAGAGTCAAAAAGTTCATGGTAAGATGGATTTTGCCAGGAAAGTTATTCTTAGATGTAAAGTCCAAATGTTCTTGGCAAGATTGATTTGTGGCCTAGCAAAATTCATCTTGCCATGAACTTTTTGATTTTAAGTTCTTCACATGAGTACATGCTTGACAAAGTGGCTGCTCCAAATTCACGAAAGTTCACAGATTGTATGATGACTTTTTAGTGGTCTATAAAAGTATTGCCTACTCTTGCATTTGGATTTGAGATTAGGATCTGATGGGGAAAAACATATGCATTTGCCCCTTTGCTTAAGAGAAGTTTTTCAAACAAAACCTAGCTGATAAACCTTTGTCATGGCTAAAATTAGGCATAAACGCCAAGTAGTTCAGAAGTTGGAGGGGGTAGGGAAGGATCATTTATCTTACATATTTTTTGAACTTCTGGCTAACGGATTATGGGGCTTGTGATCTAAAATGTTTGGAGGTGGCAACAAAGGATTCCCACCCCTTTGCTAATTGAGTCAGATGGAATTGCTAGGAAATGGAGAGTGCCAAAGGCTGGCTCAAATAGTGGCAGCCCTATATGATTGCTAAACACCAGACCAGCTTTCCCCATAGTAGTTGACACCAGAGGTTTTGGATTACCCACCACCACCACCACCGTGACCTTCCTCACTGACTGCAGCCCATTCTGATTGAGGCTGCAGTTAAAAACATGCAGAGGATGCCAGGTTGGAAGAAGCAGTCAAAAATATCCAAATCTAGATTCACTGTGAAGGGTTTTGCAAATAAGCAAATTCTACCCCCTTGTTAGAATGCCCCTAAAAAGCTGGACCTCTGCACCCAGCAGCACCAAGCGATAAACTAAATGAGCAGAATTACAAATACAGGTGGGAAACAAATGGGGCCTTGGGGTGATGCAGGGAAATGTAACTGTTTAAACATGATTATCTATTAAAATCATCTGCAACAGAAGCAGCCAGACTGGGAAGAAACTGTGATTAATATATGCCATTATAGCAAGACACAAATAGATGACAGGATGATTATCTGTTAACTGTATAAATATTATGAGCTCTGTGTTAATGGACTTTGAACCAGGCATAAAGCCCTGTTTACCATGAAAGGCAAATTAGGGCTGCCATTTTGATTCAAGGCAGGAGATCTCATGAGCTCAGCTGGTATCAAGAGGAGTACCTAGAGAGGCAGATGGTCACTCACACTACAGTGTTCATCCACATCCATCGTGAATGGACTGGATGCTGTTTCTTGCTGTGGATATGGATGAACTGCACTGAATCAAGGCCTGTGTCTTATGCCATAGAAAACTAGGGTCGGACTACATATGTTACTGGGCGCCAAGCACAAGAGTGTCCACACCCATTTCCCCTTTGGTTGTCATTCCTTGTACACAATAAACACACACAAACAGAGACACACACACATCGTGGCCATCCAATGGTCTTTGCAGAAAAAAAAGCACACCTTACCTGTTCTGGAGGCTGTTGCCCCCAAAAAACCCATACCGATCCGTCTGGCGATAAGGAGGCATCCCGTTTAGCTCAGAATCGGAGCCCAGGGAGCTGGCATCATCGCGCAGGGAGAAATCAAAGGCATCTGGTAGGTCAGCCACAGCGTGGCTTATGTTGCCATCATTGGGAAGCTCTGCGGAAAGGCAGAGGTCTGACATTGTCCCCTCTGAGATCTTGGGAACCCGCCTCCCTTCTTGTCTATCCTGTGGGCTCCAATTTAAACTTATCTCATGCGCCCTTGGCTCTGAGCAGCTCCAGGCACCCTTTGCATCTGTGCATGTGCCCCTAGTCACTACTGTTGTGACTTGAGTTCCTCTCATGGGCTTTGCAAAGCTGCTTCCTCCCACAACCATTTCCTGATGCAAGGGATGGTATCAAAGCTCTGCAAAAAGTAAACAGGGCACTGGGTGGAGGTGGGGAGGGCAAGAAATGTTGGAAGGGCACAGAAAATACAAGGGAACCCAAATTCCAGGCAGCTTGGGAAGCAGCAGACATCCCCACCAGCTGATGTCCTCACTTTGCCATCCACTCCCCCTCCCCCCCCACGCGCTTTAAACAGGGAAGAACAGGTTGCATCTTTGAGTACCTCTCCTTGCCTGTATGTCTATAGCATCCCCTGCTGGAAGATATCTCTCTCTCTCTCTCTCTCTTTTTTTTAAAAAAATCTATTTATATATTATATCACCCTCTTTTCTGAACTACAGGGGCACAATAAACAGAAAGTCCAATGGGCTTGGAATCCTGTCCCACAAGTAGTTGTCTTATCAAAGTTAAATCCTAGTTATACACACCCTTTTTCCTCCTCCTTTAAGGAAGCCCATTAGTAGCTGTTGTTCCCCCTGCGTTAGAGGCAGTTACCCTTATGAGTTCTCTGCTGCATGTAGCTGTTGCTATGTGCTGCCAAGTAGCTTCTGACTTAAGGTGACACTATGAATGAGTGACCTCCAGAACATCCTATCCTTAAGACCCTGCTCATCTCTTGCAAACACAAAGCCATGGTTTCCACTGTTGAATCAAACCATCTCCTATTCCCATTTGGTCTACTTATTTTGTTGCTGCCTTCAGCTTTCACCTACATCATTGTTTTTGAGTGACACTTGTCATCTCATGAGGTGCCCAAAGTGTGACAGCCATGTCCATGGCACAGCTAGGGAACTGGATCCAGGTCTCCCCAATCCTAGTCCATTACTGTGTCCACTACACCCCACTTGGTACCCTGATTTGATCTAGCACCCACTTATTTGTCTTTTTTGGCAGTCCGTGGAAGCCATAAAGATCTCCTCCAACACCACATTTCCAATGAATGTGTATTTTCCTGTCCACTTTCTCCACTGCTTAGTTTTCACATCCGTACACAGTAGCTGGTAATACCACTGTCTAGAGATGATTTTCACCTTACATGTGAGGATCTTTCCTAGTTCCTTTCTAGCTGCCCTTCCAAGTCTCAATCCTCTTCTGATTTCTTGGCTGCAGTCTCCATTGGGATGGATGACAAAACAGAGGTATTAAAAATCCATCATACTTTCAATGCCTTGTCAATATCAAAGGCATGCATTTTTTCTGTAAACATGATTTTTGTTGTCATTGATTTCTGCAGATGTGGCTTTTGCTGAAATCTCATTGAGAGGGGTATAGATAATGAAATGAAATTAATATTGCCTGGATATTTAGCGGCTGCCCTTCTTGCACCTTCCTCCTGCAGTAATTTCAAGTCATCATAGCTTTCTGCCACCAAGATAGGGCCATCTATATGTCTAGGATCACTGATATTTACCGACCCTCACACCTGCCATACATAGAGGCCACCTGCAGAGGCTTCTGCAGCTGAGTCCAGAGTCCAGAGTTTTCATCCTTCATTATTTCTAAATGGATCTCCTTAAGCAATAAATGTACATTTTCTATTTTTAAGTAAACACAGGTTTGCTGAATAATTACTAGTGTGACTATTTGCATATCACAAAAAAATGAACACAAGAGAGAACAGTGATACCCACAAAACTGTATGTGCTGGTGTATATGTACAGATGAGAAATTAGGAATGAGCTTTATAGTTTAAACGGAATTACAGTGCTTCTCATGGAGGAGGGGAGGGGGCAAGCAGCCATCAGAGGACTTCCATGCTTTCTGGATCTGCTGCCCAAATGCTAGCTGTGGTCGGGCACTGTCAAGGTGCCTGATCTCCCTTGTTAGAATTGCTTATCTTTAAGTCACACTTGAACTTGACAGTCCTTCTAAGAGATTGTCCCCTAGCTTCCCTTTGAATGGAGGATCAACTTCCCTAAAAGAGGACACGGTGTATGTTAGTAGTTACCACTATTTAACAACTATGAGGTCAACAGTGGCCTACTGTACTCTGCTAGCATAAAATACCAAACATTCTTACATTATTGTGTCTCATGGTGCAGTGGTTAAACTGCAGTACTGCAGCCAAGACTCTGCTCATTATCTGAGTTCAGTGTCAAAAGACTCAACTAGCTGGCTCAAGGTCAACTCAGTTTTCCATCCTTCCGAGGTTGGTAAATTGAGTACCCATCTTGCTGGGGTCAGAGCAATGTGTAGCCTGCAAAATTAAATTGTAAACCACCCAGAGAATGCTCTAGCTAGGGCAGTATATAAGTCAAAATAATAATAATAATAAAAGCAATAATTCCCATATTGATCCTGTGAGATAGGCTAGTCTGAGAGAAAGTCAGTCAGAGAAAAAATCAGTCTTGGGTTTCACTACTGAATCAAGATTTGAACCTGAGCTTCACCAGTTCCTCCTTATTACCTGGCTGCAGCTGAATACTGATGTAACAAGAATCACTGCTGGGCAAATAAAATGGGAATCTCCAGCTGCTGATCATCCCTAACCTCATATGAAGGAGCTCAGATTATGTACCGATCAGCCACAAGCTAATATATCTGAGATGCTCTTGGCTGAGCCAGAAAACACTCAGGTTAGTTAGTGACCATTCAAATAAATAAATCAATGTGACGCGATGGAAAAAGTTTCATTTACACATAATCCTCATGAGTCTGTGTAATGTCACAATTCAGACTGGACCTGAATCGCTGCCTGTATAAGGACTCCTACAGCACAGAACACTGGCTGGAAATAAAGTGCTGAAAATAGAATCACTGGGGCCCGCCTGCACAATCCCCTTTCTTTCCCAGCATCATCTTAGAAGAGCTGGAAACTGTTGCAACTCCTGTTCTTCCATACAGATAATGTTGTAGCTGCCTGCCTCTTTCATGAGAGAGAGAGAGAGAGAGGTCTGTGTGTCTGTGTGTCTGTGTGTCTGTGTGTGTGTGTGTGTGCGCGCGCCATCTGGAAAGATGAGGTTGTTGTTAGGGGGCCTGTGATTTTTCATTGCAAATCACCAGATGTCATGCATATGCACGTGCATTTAGGCGAGGAAAAGCTCCATTTGGGCAGCTTCATACTGTATATTGTTTTAAGTAAAAACCACTTATCTATAGTCTTACAGGCAAAATCCAAAGAAAGAAAACAAAACAAAAACAAAACATGTGGCACCTTAAAGACTATTATATTTTAATGCAAACTTTTGTGGACATCTCCACTTCATCAGACATATGGGAATAGAAGTCTTTTAATCTCATGCACAGATTTCCCATGTTGCATAATTCATAGATGGAATACAGCTCCTATATGCCCTAGCCAGGAGAGTCAAAGGCAAAGGAAGGATGACAGTTACAGTCCAACAGCTGTTTGGTAGGCTTCAGGTTGCTGCTAATTTATATTTGCATTTTTACTTTTTGTGTGAAGTATATTATTTGATTGTCGTTGTTTGTTCAATACATAATGGTTGCCTGTACTGTACTATGGTGCGTGTTGCTCTGGGTATCTTTGGACAGACGAATGGCACCTGGATGAAACAGATGAATAAATAATGGGTGGTGGGCTGCACTTAGCCTGTCCCTGGCCATACCTCAAGGTTTCTGAACGATATGTGTGCTGTGCCTGAATAATACACAGCTGTTCATCTGTATACAGGTTGCACCTACAGTACTGTGGTCGGTGAGGACCACAGCCGCCTAGAGTGGTCCTCACCAACCAGATAGGCGGGGTATAAATTAAATAAATAAATAAATAAAAATAAATAAATACTTTCCTAAATCTGGAATTGGGCAACATAGAG